GTATTCGGCAGCACCCCCTCCATACCCCACCACTTCAATACCTTTATCCAAACCAGCCATGATTTTCTACGTTACAAAATAAATGGTAGTTCTCCTCCATCTGCTCCTTATACAAACCACAGTAACTCCTCCCCTTGCAAAGCCACTCCCCTTCCTTGTAAATTACCCTTTGTGGCAAACCTATTTAAACATAATCTCCAACAAAAAAAACTTACTTTGGAGGGAACTAATTTGCACCATAGCATCTTACACAATATATATGTATGTGTATAAATTTAATCTTGAGTTGCATCATAAAAAACAAAACTATCATACTTTAACTCACTTTATTCATATGTTACGTGATTCAAATTCAAATTTTTTACTTTCACTAAAAAAAAATTAATATTAAACTACTTGTTAGCAACAATGAAGAATTCTTAGACATATATATTTATCAATAAAACAAATTTTCTTATAAATAAAGGGTATTGCTTTACCCATAATTTTTTTTTTTTTATCTTGATTATACAATGAGAGGCAATCATATCCCATCTTTTATCTTACCATACTTGCATGTCATGTAACTCAAATTCATAACTTTTTATTTTCAAAGAAGAAGATGACTATTAAATTATTTAGGTAGTTAGCACTCTACTCATAATTAAATATACCGTACATTGTATATCAATACTAGCCACACTTGCATTCCGGTTCCAATGGCTTCAATCATAATTAGATCACATCATAAAACACACGCAACATCCACTGCACTGTTTCTAAGGATTCACCCCTGGTTTTTTTTTTTTTTTTTTTGGGATATGTAAAATATTTTATTTCATGAATACAAGAAGTACTCAAACCCATTACAATCCTTAACTTACACTCCACTTGTGTATAACTCAATCAAAACAATTTTAAAGCATTATTTTCCTCATTAAACATTTAAATCTTCAAGTAGTGAAAATTCCTACCATTTAAAGCATGGATAACGTCTGTCTTGGATTGAGTTTCCACATTTCCAAATCAAGTTCTAGATAATCTTTAGCCTTTAGCCATGCAAACGACCTGAATAGGTTAACTTTCGCAAATTCACCCGTTTCTTGTGCTGTTTATAAAACTGTTCTAAACAACTTTTATTCCTTCTAACAGCTAGTGCACATTCAACCGGTTTTGATTGCAAATCGTAAAAAGAAAAGACACACCCGGACCTTGTGTTGATTTTTACATGATCTTCTTCTGTTAATGTAGGTGACCCGCTTGATCTGTGGGGGATTCATCTTCGCAGTACGCCTTAACCATGTCATGGCAGATTCGCTTGGGCTGGTCCAGTTTTTCAAAGCCATCGCAGAGATTGCAAAAGGTGCAGACAAACCATCATTGCCACCCGTCTGGAAAAGAGAGATATTTACTGGTCGGAATCCACCCAATGTGACTTGTCCTCATCCTGCGTACGACAAGGTAACCCACACCACTGCAGGCTTAGAAGAGATCAACATGGAATCGGCGGAGAATCTAGTTCAGCGATGTTTCTTTTTCGGTCCGAAAGAAATCAGATCAATCCGGAGTCATCTCCCTCCACACCTTCGCGCCAGCACATCAACCTTTGACGTACTGACTTCGTGTCTCTGGAGAAGTCGAACGGTAGCTCTAGAGCTCAATCCCCACGAGACCGTTCGTGTTTCATGGGTTAGCAATGCCCGCCTCAACCGAGCCCTGCAAGTTCCTGCTGGTTACTACGGCAATGCATTTACCTTCATTGCTGCAGGTTCAACCGCCGAGCATCTATGCAAGAATCCTTTAGGATATGCGCTGGAGTTAGTTAAAAAGAAGAAAACGCAAATAATCAGCGAAGAGTACTTGAGATCGTTTATTGATCTTATGTCAATCAAGGAAAGATCTAAATGTGATACATCAATTTTGAACTTGGTGGTGGTTGATGCTCGAGCCGGATTTGAAGAGGTCGACTTTGGGTGGGGAGAAGCCGTTTACGGTGGTGTGACTGGAAATATAACGTTTGCAAGCATTTTCTCAAGAGCTAGAAACAGTGAAGGGGAGGAGGGAATTGTTGTGCCAATATGGTTACCACCTCTAGTTATGGAGAGGTTTGAGCAGGAGCTACAAAAGATGACTCACGAGGCTGTGGATGATTCCTACAGTCAGAAGTACAAAAGAATCCCGTCCAAGATGTAATAATTAGACGCTCGAAGGGAACAGGAAGCCTTTGGGTTGTTGCGCGTTTATAGCCACTAATTGGCCGGTATCCTGTGGAGTGTTTCCTTTTTTGGAATGGCGTATCCTGTCGAGTGTTAATTAATGGCCCTTTTTGGTTGTGTGCTTTGGTATTGTTTTTCTTTCCTCTTTCTTTCTTCTCTCCCCCTCCCCCACACCACCCCCTCCCTTTTTTCTTTTTTTTTGTGTAAGTTGTGTGTTTATGTTAGTAATAAATTTGCACTGTCTTGTTAAAAAATTGCACTGTCTTAAAAAATATGTATTCTCTTCAAGTAGCCAAAAATATATATATATATTTAATGCAGTCTATATTAATTAAATTAACTATTAAATAAGAAATAGAACTTTTATTATTGAGTTTTATATGTATTTATAGATTATTTTCATAATCGAATGCAATTTAAATTATAAAAATTGAGGAACTCAAATTTTGAATAGAAAAAAAAATAACATTTTAGTTTATGGGAGTGTCGTTATGACCATGCAATTTTTGTTAAGGCTACACAGATTTTATTCAGTTTAACAATACTGGTAGTTTTTTTTAAAATAATTAATTATAAGTTGATTTTAATTTATTAAGTAATAAATATTAATTTTTAATTAATTATGAATTATTTTTAATAACTCAATTGAATAAAATTAATATTTTTAAATAATATTATACAGTCTTAATAAATTAATATCTAGCCATAAGCTCGTCCCTGTTTGTGAGTCTTGGATTGCTGGGACTGTCATATTCAGTGTTGAAGCATGAGTTGTAAAAGGTTTTTATTTTTAACGAAAAAATTGGGCCTATTGCATTAATGCCCAAATTGATTATTTTTTACTTTTTATTTTTTTGAAAATAGGTAATGGACCCAAACTGATTAAAGATTCAGAGTTGTGGAATAACAATCATAAACAAGTTTTAACCCAAAAAAAAATTTGCTAGCTATTATCACTTTTTAATTAATTTTTGTAATTGTCGGCATATTTTAAAGTGTTATATTACATGATTTTTATGCTATCATTGGATTGCTGCACCAATCCACCAAAGACATATCCATCGATCGCCCCTGCTCTGCCAGAAATGCAATAAAAAGACCTTGCTTTGAATTAACCCAAAACACCTTTCCACATCCACTTCGGTCCCTTCAAATGCTTGTTCATTTCTACTTGGCCACACTCTCCTCAAGACTGAAAACCAGATAAACCCAACCTTATTCGATTGAACCTACATTCACGAGCATTCATAAGGAAAATTTTATTATTAAATTGAAAGATATGATTTATGATATTTACAATTTACAAATGCCTAACCCTCAAATAAACCCATAACTTACTTTTAGTATTTTTTGAATGTGAGATATACTCAAAATCACTCAATGAAAATTTTAAACACTCTACTCATTCACCCTCACCTGAAGCACTCTCAGTACTCTTTGTTTTCCCTCACAGAGCGCTTGAATGGCTTGCTTTTTCATGAATTGACGAATGTCCAAAGGCTTTTATAGCCAAAATATGCACCGCCTAAATTTAATGAGCATGCAGCAAAGTAAAGAGCCAAAATGGTTTGCTGATAAAAAGAGAGAGAGAGAGCGCCAAAATGGCTTGCAACACCTCCAAGTTTTTTGAAAGGAATTACAGAGAGTAATTTCCATTTTGTCAACAATTTTTTTTTCTATGCATATGTTAGGATGACAACAGTCACCACAAGGACACCCAAACTCACTTATTATATTTTCAAAAGTGAAACACATAAATTATTTTCTAAAAATTTTAAGCACTCATGCATACCAAGGTCTGTGCATTTAATTGGCAGCTGATTCTAGATCAATTACCAACCAAAACAAATTTATTTAAGAGAGTCATCGTTAAAGATATGCATGTGAGGTTATTCATCGTTTCCGCGCTGAACATTTAGAAGAGAACACTCATTTGTTCCTCACATGTAGGTAACCACCCAAAACTGGCCTAAGTGCTATAAGTGGTGGGAAGTACCAACTATTTCTACAATGAATTATTGGGATGCTTTGCTCACCACGAAGGACTGGTAGTTTTGTGAAGCATGAGAATAGGTGGGATTGTTTTATGGCTTGCGTTGGCATGGACAATTTGGCTTATTACAGTATAATAAATTTTTATTGTACTTAATAAAGCACAATAATTTTTTTTTTAAAATAATAATTATATTGATAAAATTAATATTTATTTTTAAAAAATAAAAAATATCAAAATTAAAACTCTAACTCTACATCATAAAAAATACCATCAATTTATTTTTTTTTTTAAAGCGAAGCCATTAGGATCACTCGGCAAAAACCAACATTTGGCCTCTCATCTTATAAAATTGATAAGTTTTAACCTCTCACCTTATAACATGACAGTTCTAGCCTTTTATCTTATAAAGTTGGTAAATTTTAGCTCCTCACCTTACAAAATTGATAGGTTTTAATCATTTACCCTATATTATGATATTTTTAATTCATCACTGATACAAATTAAAAAAAATAACCCTCACATAACATCAAGTTATAACAGAACCTAACATCAAGTTATAACGTTCTATTAGATTTGTTAGATAATTGTTAACATTTATTGGCATTCCGTTATAAAAAATATGAAATTTAAATTCAATTTAAATTCAATTTAATTTGTTAGTTTCATTAACGGAATGCTAGCAGATATTAACAGTCAACTAATAAAACTAACAATTAGTTAATAAAACTAATAGTTAACTAACAGAACTGACAGTCAACTAACAGAACTAATAGAATATTAAAATCTGATATTAAATAAGGGTTATTTTCTTTAATTCATATAAATAAGGGGTTAAAAGTATCATAATATAAAGTAAAGAGTTAAAACTTATCAATTTTGTAAGGTAAATAATTAAAAATGTCATATTTTAAATTTAAAAGTTAAAACTTATTAATTTTATAAAGTAAGAGACTAAATGTTATATCGTGGTATTAATCTTTCTTCCAACCCAAAATGTGTTTTTTGTGGTGATAGTGTGGAAGATATTAACCACATCTTTGCAGTGTGTCAATTTTCCCAAAACATCTAGACTCGATTATGCTGCTGGTGGGGAACTACTTTTTCTCCCATTGGTAACGCCTCCCTCCTCCTTTTGCAACTTTGTTCACTTAAGTCTGGCATAAAATCTCAAAGTTGTTGGGTGCTTTCTGTTGTTACAACAGCATGGGCCATTTGGTATTTTCGTAATGGTATCGTGTTTAACAACCTTACTTGGAATGAAAATACTATCTTTGAGTTAGTGTTAACAAAGACCTTTGGTTG